GCTCATCACGTGCCCACAGGGCAGACAAAGTCATCTGACAAGGATCAGCAAAAGCCACCTGCTGTCTGAAACACCTTGCTGAGCTCAAACACGGGGCTGGAGTTAAGATACCCACACACTAGCACCCATAGGTGCTCCCAAACAGTGGCAAGTCATTGCTCAGGGGAATGCTACAGAGACCTACTGAGGATGTAGGTGGCCAAAGCCCATCCAACTCCTGATTTAAAGAGTGAAATTTGAAGCTAGACCCCTCATAGCTGTCAACAAGTACCAAAGTCTTACTGAAGACAATAAAGGTAGCATTCCTGCCCCATGCTGCCATTTCCATGGGGAAGCAGTTATTTTCCTTTTTTCCCTCCTGCAGCATGAATGCCTTACCTGAAGCACAGATCCCTTGCCATAAGCACTGTCTTTGCTCCAGCAGTGGGGCCCTGCTCTCTGCTGAAGGCGCTTGCTATTACCAGACTGCAAGAGGATGGGGAGAGGAGAGGCAGAAAATACTGTGAAGAGAAAAGATATATTACATTATAGCTTTTTAAAATAAAATACAGTAGGAACACCAGGTACCATGCCATCGGAGTCATGTAGGCTGTGGTCTCTGCTATCTCTAATTGTCATCCAACACATAGATGAGATAGATAATAACAGGAGCAGTAATCAGAAACAGACATTCCGCATGAGCAAAAAAGGCTTACCACGACAAAAACTGTAGCCAGATACAGATGTATGTCAGATAAATTTGAAGGATCTTAACTTGCTAAAGCACTAGCACGCATTTAGATCTAAATTTATATACAAATATATGTGTACGCGTGTATCCAAGTACCCACATTTACCATTTAATGTGAGATGAGGAAAGTAGAGAGCAACATTAAGAATACAGAGGCTTGGGATAATATTTAATAATGTTCTTGTGGAAAAAATTCAAAACTGGAAAAACTTGCCTGAGGATTTTAAGATACTAAATGCAAGGTGAACCATTGTGCTAAAATACAGGCAGAAAAACTAGAAAACTTGCTGTGACTTGGGTTTGTTTTCAATTTGAAAGTAATCAGCCCCAGTCTGATCTGCGCCCTTTGCAACATCAAACACAGATTACATATGGGCTAAAGTTCCAGTCCCCAACACAGTGCTTCTGGAGAACAGAACAGCCCAAGAACAGCAGGTAGAAACAGCGTATGCTACACATCGATACCTGGTGTCACTGGACAAAGAAATAACTACACAGCATGCACAAGCACCACCGAGGTTCTTCTTTCATATCCCCAGACAATCATTTCCCCTCAGGCACATAGCAACCTGCACCGCTTAGCACACGCTTGGCACCCCAAGTGAGCTGCTCACTACACCATGCACTGGCTGCTGCCTCCTCACTGAGCATTGTAAATGAAGAAAAGAAAGGCTAGGTGATTTCTTTAGGTTTCCTTTCAGGACAGGGAGGGGGAAGAAAAAAGATAAATTTGCAGCACGTGCAGTTTTTGACAACAGAGCTTTGAAACATTGCGGTAAGAGAAAACAAGGCTGCTGCCCAGTCCCAGATCTGGACAATGTTGAGTTCCACCTTATCAGCCCCTGAAACAGTCAGGAGTGATCTGCTGCTGAGCTGCCTCACGTCAAAACATGCGCAATACTGTTTCCCACCCCTCCCCAACAAATGCAACGGTGAGATTCAAGTAATAATAATCTTCAGATACTCTGACACCAGAGATCATTTTTAAAGGAAAGCAAACATTTTCATCATATTTTTCTTCCACCATGGGAAGAAAGCCAGCTTTCTTCCTCACCACTGCCATTTCACGGGTTGACGAGAATGAGCTAAAAAGCCACAGTTTTTCCACTCCACTCTACAATATTACTAACCAAAGGCTAATTGCTCAAGATCCAAGTTTATGCTTACAGGGTCCCCAGGGCCAGGATCTCTCCAGCCTGCTTGGTCTGGCTACCCCAGCTGCAAGCTGCAGCAGCTCATGGTCTCTCCCTTGCAGCCACAGCTTATCCCATGATTTTGCAGCCAAAAAGCACAGTACTGCCTGTGCATCAGAAGTAAAGGAGCAGGGTTCAGTGTAAGGAAAGCATCAGGCTTTTACTTCAAACTCATCACACCAGCAAAGCATGTCAGCAGGTCATGGAGGGCTGCAGAGTGGTCCTCACATGCACTATATAGCCAGGTAAAGGATCTCAAAGTAAGTGATCTCAGGGAAGCAGATTTCGAAGAATATATAAAGGAGAGATTGACCAACAGTATTTAATGCTGCCTGCATTGGAGCAAGTCTTGTCCATTTTTTTACTACATCAGCATCGATGCATCTCCCCCAGCCACTTCTCAGCTTCCAGGACAGGCCAGAAAGAGGTACAGAAGATCTGAGCTCACACTAAGGCTTGAGACAGAGAAAGTGGCACCATGACTTTGCTATCAATGACACAGACCACACGCTCTACTTGGACAGCAGAGATAGCTCTCAAGAACAAAAGAGTCAATTCATTTTCTCTACAGTTTGTTAATTCATTTTCACTAGTATCCATCAGACTATTTCTTCACAGTTTGTTTTGTAGGGTGGGGACCCCAGGCTATCCACTCATGGCACAGCCTCCATGAGTCCTGTTTTGCTCCTGCAGAGGAAGGCAAACATAGGGGCCTATCCATCAGGATCTGGGGAGACAGCAGCCATCTCACCAGGGGTCACTCAAGCCTCCTGTGTCATTTTGGGCCCCCAAACAGCATTTGGCTTTGCAGATCCAGGGAGCCCTACCCCAGTTGCATGGACAAGCAGAGAGCTCAGCCTCCTACTTCAGCACTTTCCTTGCAAGAGGGAAAAGTGAGGGTAACAGTGATGCAGTGGGTCTGGAAGGCTTGGGTTGGTTGTGTTTACATGATCTCAGGTCATTTCAAGTTTATAGTAAATGAGTTTGCCAAAGTTGAATAGAAATGGAAATAGGAAGGTCTCATAAAGCCTCATCTCAAATCAAAGCTTAATCCAGGAAAAAAATGCAGGAAAAAAAGGTGTGTAAACAGGAAACAAACAAGCAAGCAAACACAGTGGAAAAAACTGGGCAGATTTCTGTCAGAAATGTCTTATCCTCTGCTGTAGAAAGTGGTTATTATCTGTAATCTAAACAGACTTTTCAGATCTTGGGTGCTTGCTTGCAGTCTGCACAGCAAGCTGGATCTGTAGAGAGTGGCATAGGCAGCTGGCAAGTTGTCTTCTGACCACACTGACTTCCACCTGAAGGGATGTCAGTGGCACACAAAAAAATGGCAGGAAATAAAAAAAAAGGAGAGAGATTAAAAATTACAAAAAAAAAAAAAAAAAAAAAGTCATTTTTATAAAGATCCCTGTCATTCATTTAGAGTAACAGTAAACACGCTAGTAGATCCTCTTTCCTGAAGAGCAGTTTGAGGACCAAGTCTTGTGGGACCACCTCCAGGAGGTGACATCCCATGCAAGCAGCAACAGCGACAACCTCTGGCAGTCCTCAGGACTTGGCAAAACAGGCTTAAAATGGACACCATAAGTCATCCGTGGGGCTCAGTGCCATGGAAGACGACCGAGGCCAAGATCTGTTGCTTAAAGAAATGAATTGAACACAGATAGATGGCAAGAATATGTGGAGCTGAAGGAAATGGACTGCTTTTAAGCACTTTCACAAGGGGCGTTACACATCCATGGTATTTGTTTTCAGTGTTTGAGAGCCTGGTCTACAGGGAAGTCACACCCATGAGCATGCCCTATTGGAAAGGTCCTCCAAACCCTCCCTAAAATGACTGGCACTGGCTTCAAACAGGTACCAGCTGCCAGCCCAGGGCAGCACTGCAACCACTAGGCAAGCATGGCTGCCCCTTGCCCTCTCAGTGGATGCTGCAGGTCCCCTCCCTTTCTTATGCCACAGACAGTGACCAAAACTGGGTGAATAGGGACTGTGCAATTTACAGAAGTTATAAGGGTTTTATGGGAAGGGCTGGCTTCCCATAAAACATCTCTATAAGAAGATATATTCAGTAGCTGATTAATGAATGTGGTTTACCACAAAATGATACTACACAGGCCTACTCTCTTCAATAATAATCCCAGAAATAATATTATTAAAAATCCCAGAAATATCCAAGCTGCAATAGAGCTGTGCTGGGATCTCAGTGCTTTGTCTGCTGCTTCTCCCTATGTGACAAATCAGCACAAACATAATTCTTTGAGGGAGCTTCTAGATGAAGACAGAAGGGAAAGAGATGAGCCTGCATAGCATGGGGCCAGTCCCATGCTTAGCCCTAGAAGAACATGCCAGGCAATGGGATGTCAAAAACCCTTGGACACTCACAGCTGAGGAAAAATCCCTGATGTGGAGAGGGCTGTCAGTCCAGAAGCTTTACATCCAAGGTTTGCCTAGCTCTGTCTTCAGCACCTTGCAGGGATAGGCTGGGCAGGAGGGTTTGGTGCAGGTTTGGAGCTTCTCCATAAGAGTCCATCCTCAGACCCTCAAGCACAGCCCCATGGGCAGGGAGGTGCCTCCGTCAGGGGTGAGGAGCATGCTTGTGGTTCACATTTTCTTCTCCCTCTTGCCCTTCGCAGCCCTGGGTGCTGCAAGTGGGGGCACTCTGCACCCTCCCACAATGAGCTGGCTTACACCTCCTGCTCCCACGTCCAGGTGCTGAAGAAGTGAGCCGGCAACATCGCTTCACCGTCGGCGGTGAACGGATCAAACGTGGGCGCGGGGGGACGAGGAGAGAGCAGCGTCCTGCCGCTCCGCAGCGGCTCGGGAGCTGTAGAGCTCATCTCGAAGCAGCCGCGACCCCAAGGCGGCCCCGCAGCCCCTTCTCGGACAAGGGGCTCCGAGGGCTTTTGTTCGCGGGGATGTTTCCGCCCCTTCCCCACGCACACACTTTTAAGGATTTCCTGCCAGAAGACAATCCCCCCGAGCCGAAGCAGAGCAAGAAAGTAGTGACCAATCCTTTCCGGATGGCTGTCACCAAGCTCCTCCCAGCCCCCCGCTCCCCCTGCTATTTGCATACAAAACATCCAGAAAACTCCCGCTGGCCCCCGCACCTCTCTCAGAGCCTCCGTCCGTCGGGCAGCAGAGCAGCCTGAGCTGGGGCCCGCTCGGCACAACGCGCAGCCCACCGCCCCGCCATGCCGCGCCGCCTCTGCGCCCTGCTCCTGCTGGCCTCCCAGTGCCTGGGTCCGGCCGCCGGGCTCTTCCCCTTCGGGGAGCCCGACTTCTCCTACAAGCGCTCCAACTGCAAACCCATCCCCGCCCCGATGCTGCTGTGCCGAGGCATCGAGTACCAGAGCATGCGGCTGCCCAACCTGCTGGGGCATGAGACGGTGCAGGAGGTGCTGGAGCAGGCCTCCACCTGGATCCCGCTGGTGCAGAAGCAGTGTCACCCCGACACCAGGAAGTTCCTCTGCTCCCTCTTTGCCCCCGTCTGCATCGACGACCTGGACGAGATCATCCAGCCCTGCCACTCGCTCTGTGAGGAGGTGAAGGAGAGCTGCGCGCCGGTGATGTCTGCTTTCGGCTTCCCCTGGCCGGACATGCTGGACTGCAGCCGCTTCCCCAAGGACAATGACCTCTGCATCCCGCTGGCCAGCAGCGACCACATTCTCCCGGTCACCAGGGAAGGTAAGAGGTGGCTGCCCCGATGGTGGGTCCACTGCTCGGTCAGGCTCGAGGAGGTTCCCTCCGTGACACCCCAGCCCCGGGGACCGCTGCCTTTCCCCACAGCTCTGAAATGAAATGTTCTGGGCTCGGCTCCCAGCCCCTCAGGTGTGCTGGGTGGTGAGGCTGGCAGCAGTCACCTCCTTGTGGAGAATATCTGTGACCCCCGACTGGAGCCTCGTGGTTCCCTCAGCTGGTAATGGGAGCATCCCCCTCTTGCAGCAATCACTGCTGAAGTATGGGGTTGGGGAGCTCCCCCCACCTCCTTTTGCTCTTTTTGCAATAGGGGGGAAAAAAAAGTAAGAAAGAAAAAGGTTGTTTAGTGTGACCCTGTGTGCTCTCCTCCAGTGGCTTGTGACTAAAGTGAGGGAAAGGGGGAAGGCACGCAGTCAGTCTGTCTGGCTGGAAAAGCTGTGTTTCCCCGAAGGCTTCCCAACGCCACCTGCTGTTCCTTTCTCCTTGAGCCTGACCAGGACTGTCCCTTGCATTTCTAGCACCCAAAGTCTGCGATGCGTGCAAGAACAAAAATGAGGACGATAACGACATCATGGAAAACCTCTGCAAAAATGACTTTGGTAAGTGGCAGCATAGCCCCTCGATTAAAACTTGAGGGATTAGGAGCAGGTAAAACTCCCAGTGGAGTCAGAGAGACATGCCTGAATAAAGGCAGGGCTTTGTCTCATCTGCGGATGGATTCGTCCATCCTGTTGCATCTGAACATTCTTGTCATGAAACACAAAATTGCATCTCTGAGAAAAAAACGGCCCTTTTATAGTTCTTTCCTGTGTGCTGTTTCGAAGTAGTACTCTTTTTATGTGGACATTGCAGCCAAGCTGAATAGAAAATAAAGCAAAAGAAGGAATCTTTCATCTAGTCTATTGCCTGGGGAGAAGTACAGCAAAGCTTCACTTAGACATATGAGAGAGAGCTGCATGACATATAGCAAGAAAGAAAGACTTTCTCTGCAGATTAAGAATGAAGCTCAATATATCATTTGACAGAGAAGGTAATGCACAGACAACTGGGGATATAAACTTAATGTGAAGATCTGGGGTTAGAAGAGGATGAGAAAGCCTGTTCAACACGGACAACTGAAGGGCACATTATCTGCGTATTAGCATTTCAAGAGAAAAGGGGAATGAGGAGGGGAATTATTTTATAATAAGGCAGTATTTATACCTGGAAACAGATTTGTACTAGAAATATCTGCAAGAATTCAAAAGCTTCCCTTAAAATGAACAATAACAACAGAAAAACCAACGTCCTGTGGAACTGTGATTGCAGGACATAACTGCTAAAACAACCAATAGCTTTGGCCTGGCAAATTGCACTCAGATAAATCCTCCTAAAGCTAAATGTGCCCCACAGATTCTTAAAGCGACTTGTATCCCCCTCCTCCTTTTTTCACCAAATCAAATGCAGCTGTTGGACCAATTTGCCCTCTATGGGATCTATTCTTTGAAAGAAACAACAATGTATGTGAAATATCATTTCCTTGCAGGTTTGCCTAAAATCCTCTCCAGCCTAATAAATTAAGCTTAGAACTTTTCAGCTGCAGCAGAGATCAGGTTTCAGATTAGGTTTAGGTATTTGCCTCCCCACCACCCCTTCATATTCTAGGGTTTCAGGAACACATCCTGTCCCAGCGAAAGCTGGAGTGCTGCTTAACATAGCAAAGCTGCGTGTTTGCAAACAGGAGAAAAGCTGAAGAAAATATTAATGTAGGAAGGAAGGAAAAAGAGGGGGAGGGGAAAGAAGAGAAAAGAAACCCCAAAACCCTCAGCCCTAAGGTTGATTCAAACTGAAATGACTTGCATGCCCTTTCTGGCTTTAGAAATGGAGCCACCTGCTGCCTCTTCTGTCAGCCCTGACAGTTTAATTAGCAATAGAGCACCTCCCTCCCCAGGTCCTCTTTATGTGTACTAATGGGGAAAAAAACTCTTAATCTCTCTCCCTCTCACTCCCCTCCCCCCTCCCCTTGCTCTGTTAGCCTTGAAGATAAAAGTGAAGGAGATTGCCTACATCAATGGGGATACCAAGATCACCCCTGAAACAAAGAGCAAGACCATCTACAAGTTGAATGGGCTGACAGAAAGAGATCTGAGGAAGATCGTGCTCTGGCTAAAAGGTGGCCTCCAGTGTACCTGTGATGAGATGAACGACATCAATGTCCCCTACTTGGTGATGGGGCAAAAGCAAGCTGGGGAACTGGTGATAACCTCGCTGAAGCGGTGGCAGAAAGGGCAGCGGGCTTTTAAGCGGTTCTCCCGCAGCATCCGCAAACTGCAGTGTTAGTGGCTTTGGCTGTGTTGGCTTCAGCAGCCTCCTCTGTCCCAAGCTCTCCAGACCTCCCCAGCCTTCTTTCTTCAGCCTCTCTGCGCCTTGAGATGCCCTGGCCAGGAGACACAGCAACCGATCTCCAAGATGGGGAGAGCCCTCCATTTCTGTACATAGGTTAAATGTAATAAAAATATATATATCATGATTATTTTGGGGAAGTATTAAACTATCTCACTTAACAGTTGGTTTTTTTTTTTTTTTTTAATGGTTACAAATGTGACTCTTCTGAGGTTTTTCCCTCTTCATTTTGGTAATGCTGGTTCATTTATATTGCTGCCTCTCTGTATACGTGCATGTTTGTCGTGCAAAAGCAGGAGACAGAAAGACAGATGTGTGCGACTGGCCTGTCACAAGGGGTACGACTCTTTCACTGAGGTGAAATGGCTTGCCATCTATATTAAATTTATAAAAGTCATGTTACAACTCTTGCATGTGATACATAGGCACCAATAAGGGTATATTAACCATTCTCAAGTTTTATTTTCCACAAGACTGAGCCCTTTTCTTAGGAGGAAAAAAAAAACAAAATGAAAAGGTTTTGGAACTGGTTTATCTGAATGCAACTTCTTTCTTATTATTTTGCAAATTAAACCATCTGTAGCCTAACTGTAACATACCTAGCGGTTAACCTGAAAGAGTTGTAAAATATTGCTTTAATTAACCTTGTAAATACTCCAGATAAATGTTATATTCTTGTATATAAACTTTACATCATAGTTTTCCTATTGTCTTGATTTGTTCTTGGACAAATTCACTTCAATCTGTTTTGGGAAAAAGGTGTCCAACTGAGCTTTGTCGTGGCAAAACAAGATTCACCCTTCTACCCAAATGACCAACAATCACCAACGGTGAAACTTGTCCTCTGATGCTGGCTGCGATTAAGAAAACCACGCAGTACCTCATTTCCCCAAAGACCAACCCATGTAACGTGAAGGTTGGGGTACACTTACCTCATTTTAATAGATTTCTGTTGAGCTCTTCAAGATAAAAAGTTTTCTGTGGTTTCTTTGATTGCCTACAATTTCATCCCACCTCAGAGGACTCTGCTGATGTGGAATAGCAATGAAATCACTTGCTTAAAAATCATACCCATTTATCCATTTTTTACGCTTGAAAAAGTCGTATTAAGGAGTCCAAGAGTAGACAAAAACCTGATCTGTAACCAACAATTCAGAATAACTTAAATGGTAGAGCAAAGTATGTTTTGTGTGCACTTTCACTATTCCTATTTAGAAAATAAACTGTTTGCACTACCCTAATAGTGTAACTAGAGCAATGTCTTTCAGTATTTTTCTTACAAATATTTTCTATGGAAGAGCATTACTTGCTAGAGTTCTATTATACTTATCCTGGATGGGCCTCTGAGCATCTTCTAGAGAAAGATACCCATGGCAGGGAGCTAGAACTAGATGGTCTTTAATGTCACTTCCAGCCAAACCATTCTATGTAGTTCTGTGAAAAATAATCTTACTTCCCACTACTGCCGTGCATACAAAGTTCCTTTTACCCTCATTTAAGAAGCTGACAAGCCCAGTGCTTACAAGGACAGTGCTTCATGTTAGTCATTCACTGAGAGAATGCAAATCCAACCCAAGATTTTTTTTAGAAGTAAATAATCATAATAATTTCATATATTTGGTGTGATTTTTCACCTATCAGGATTGAAAGAAAAAATCTAATTTGTTTTAGAAAAATTCTTATTTGCCCTCTTCCCAAGTCTTCATGCGTTTATTATATCCCATACAAACAATGGTAGGACTTGGAGCAAGGAGGACAAGATCAGTCCTCACAAACATCCTCAGAAATATAGCAATAACAATTAAAAACAAAAAACAAACAAAACAACCAACAAAAAAACAACCCTCACTTCCAAACTGGTTCTTCAGTTTTTGTGAAACAGTATCTATTTAAAGTCCAATACTTTGCTGAAATAGCATAGCTTTAAAATTTTTCTTCTGAATGGACATAGCTTCCCAGGAACAGATTTGAGTCTTCTCACACTTGGGAGTAATTACTTTCATATCAGTAGTGTGTCCATCATCATCCAGATGTCACATAACTCTACCCATCTCCCTCAGCACATCACCTAACACCTGTCACTAAATGGGTCTTGGATATATTAGAGGGAACTAGCTCACAGAAAAAGGGCAGGTGGCTGGAGACAAGCCTGCAGAAAAATCAGACTGTGCTGCTTGGCGCTTTGAAGAGGCAGTGGTTGTAATGTGGGCTCTGGGGACCAAAACCAAACAACACACAGCCTGCCTAACTGACACTAAGTCCTCTTAGAGCAACCATAAAATTATCTTAATTGGGCTATCCTAGAAGGTAGCAGTAGTGATGCTGATGAAGACAGACAGGTCACAAGTTATTCACTCTGGGGTCATACCGAGGGCAAGACTACAGAAGAGATCTTTACTTAAATGGCTTGGATGTACAAAAAGACATTATCTAACCACAACATCACTCTGTCTTTAAAAATAATAATAATAAAAAATTCTTCCACCACAAAATAAACACTGTTACACCAGCTAAACCATGGAGGGGAACAAGAATAAACCAGATCTGCCAACATTTGAATCCGCCAGTACAACAGGTGTCCAGGATTAGCAGCGTTCTGTCCTTACTGATAAAGCCTTCTGCATGTGTCCCTGGATGGACTCACTGGTACCATCCAGTGAATTATGTGAAAGGAATTGCCTTTCACATAAACAGGGCTTGGGCGAACATGAAGAGTAATAGGAGTCACATCTTCTGAGTTGAGCTGTTCTAACAGCATTGTACCGTTCTCCACACTGAGCAGACAGAACATCAGGGTTGATGTTATACAACCCATTTCCGAAGGCGTATAAGCCAGACATTGCAAAGTCTTCAGCCAAAAATTAGAATTTCAGAGTCACAGCCTGAGGAAACTTCATTTGGCAGACGCTGGTAAAGAAGTAAACATGTACATTTTTTACATTTTTATCCTTACTCTTATTCACTCAACAACAACTGAAGATCTTTGATTGTGTCATGCAAAGAGTGAAACAAACATGTAAAAAGTGATTAGGACTTGCTACTCCTGATTAGTGTTTTGCATTTAGTGTGGAGTAACTTCATTACCTGGTACAGTGTGATTCAGTTCTAGCAGAAATTTGTTTCCAACTGATGAAAAAACACAACTTGTTGCATTTTTTTAGACACTTTTTGTCTTCCTCTAATTAAAAAAAAACATTGTTAGGCAGCCAACTGTGTAGCTCCACTGTATTTGCTTTCATAAAAACTATAAAAGCAGTTGAGTACAATGGATTAGTTTAAGAACAATAATAATGATACTTGACATTTATACAGAAGTTTCCATTTAAGTTTCTCAGACTGCCTTCAAAAAACAGTCATTAATGTCCCTGTTTTGTAGATCAGGAAAATGAGGCACAGTGAGGTAAACTAACTCACTCAGAAGCCACCCAGCAAGTTCCTCTGAAGTCATGAAAAGAAGCATATTTTTTTACTCCAAGTTTTATGTTCTCATCACTAGACCACAGCAATCAGAACGGTATATTGTTGTGGTTTCGTGATTTTTTGTTGTCACTATTCCACATCATGTGGACCAGTGGGAGTTAACGAGTTAATGTTCCGGTTCCGTTCACTGCCTTTTGTGGACTCTCTGAGCATCCTGATGGGAGGCGAGGGGCGGCATCCCCGGAGGACCTGGCTATTTAGCCTCTCTCTCATCCCCCTCTTGTACAGACGCTCTCACTTAGTATGTTTTATTAAAGGAGTCGTGCAGCATAACTATGCATAAGCCACAACAATCCTAATAGCCTAGCTTTAAGAAATGAAAAGGTCCATGCAGAAAATTCAGCAAGAGACATTTAAATTACTTGAATAAATTAATGATTTTCTCTGAGGACAGGAGGGGGAGTTAGGTGCCACAAAGAGCACCACAGACACACACCACTCACCCCAGGCACAGCCATTATTCTTATTATGCAACAGGAGAATATAAAGACTTATAGACAGTATAGACAGCATATAGAACATACAGATATGGCACTCCTTGGATGGGATTTTAGGAAAAACTTCTCAGAAAAAGTGGAACAGATTGCTCAGGGAAGTGATGGACCATCAAGAACTGTGTGGATGTGGCAGTGAGAGACATAGTCTAGAGCAATCACAGGCATGGGTTGATGGTTGGACTGGATGGTCTTTCCAACCTTGACAATTCTATGATTCTGTGATTCCTGCCCTTGCATACCCAGTCACTCACGTCACTCACACATCTCAGTCCTACTATCCTAACCCTGTGTTCCTCCACTTGGGTTAAGGAGCACCCATCTCAGCCCTCTTCTGACATTTCGCTACCTCTCCGCAGGCATCCAGGATACTGGCCAAGAGTAGAGCCACCATGATTCTACCTCATCATCTCCTGGTGCCTGCTGTAGTACGAGAGATCCACAAGAAGGTGGCAGAACAGCTTTTTGTCTGCTGCTTCTGCTCTGCCCTCACCATCTGCCAGTTTTGTGAGTCTCATGATGTGGCCACTGTTGGTAACACCGGAGAAGGAGCGATGGCTTGATCACTTCCAGAACAGTAGGGGGTCTCCCTCAGGTTGGACAGCCCAAGCTTTTGTTTTTGGAGCCAGAAGCTCTTATTTCTAGGCTTCAGAGGTATGTTCCTATGATTTATTTACATATTGCCTTCTTATCAACAGATGCAGATTCAGTACTGCCTGTCTGATGACACAACCACAGGAATGACTCTTATTTGCCTCTAAACAAAGAGTGCAAGATATTCACGTTATAGGAATGCAGGACCTCAAGCTGCCTTACAAACATTAATTAGTCCATGCTACATCCCTTTGGGGTGAGGTTTAATAGGGTAACAGGTTCCAAATGCATCCAGCCCCTTCATGGTGAGCTGTGGGCTCCTAAATCACCTGAATAGCTTGGAAAATATGAGCCTTTATCTCTGAGCAGAGTTGCAGGTGACTGGTGGAGGTCAGCCAACAAATCTGTCTCCTAGCCAGGAAGAGCACCTCAGCAGTCAGTAAGCCAGCCCATTGTTCTCACAGCCATCAGAATAACCATCCAAAACAGAAAGCTGCACAGCAGCACAGCTGGTGGAGCTAAACTTCAAAACCAGTTGCTGTAGGCACAGGAAAGCTGTCCAGCAGGACAGATCAACAAAGGTTAGGTGTTGTGCTCAATGTCTTACAGAACAGACACAACAAAGAATGCACATGCTATTTAAAGCCTATGATAAGGTGCTTTAGTGGCTGTAGGGTTCATATCACTGCACACACACTGAGCTATTAATCATTTCAGTTTACTCTGAGGCATAAACCTGAATTAAGTTAGGCCATTCTACTAAGCCAAACAATAGTTTAGGTGTAATGGGTGAAGCAAAAGAGTTTGGAGAGGTAGATTTTCAGAAACTAAGGCAAACAAAAAAATTAGAAAGATATACTGTAATTTAAGAATTAGGGGTGAGGCATATTAATTTGTTTTGAGCAAGGGAAGAAACTGATTTTGAAGAGAATCTTATACATTCTATGATCTATAACTCTGCAATATCCCAGAGATATGAACAGTGCTTTTTTTTTTTTTTTTTTTTTTACCACTTTGGGGATTTTTGAAACAGAACATGGATTTTTAAGCGTCCACATAACTGAAGCATAAGATCTATTCCCAAGATATTCTTAGGTTTTGATTTTCAAGGACGTTACACAACAACAGGA